ATTCTTACAATAATGAAATTGAAGAATAAAATTGGAAAAAAACAACCAAAGAAAATATAAAAGAAAAAGAATGCATTGAATGAATTGATTTTTAGTCGAAGAAATGCGATTTATACTTTCATTATTTATATTGTTTATTTATATTCTTATTATCTTTTGTAGCTAGTTGGACAGATGAAAGGTAGCATTCGCGATCTCGAGGTAAACAGCGAATCTGAGGACAGTTCCGATCAGGAAGAGATGGAGCAGTGCAAGCAGCAAGTACAAAAGAAAACGAGTATGTTCTCTATGTTCAAGAGTCTAGTTGGCAGCAAATCTCTAAAGCAAGCAGAGATGTTGCCGGTTTTAGAGAAACTGAAAGATCATCTAATCACTAAAAATGTTGCTGCGGACATCGCGCAGAAGTTATGCGATTCTGTCGGCACAAAGTTGGAAGGAAAGATACTCGGCACCTTTGATAGTGTGGCAAACACTGTGAAAGCCACTTTAACAGACGCTTTAGTACAGATATTATCGCCCAAAAGGAGAATCGATATTCTACGAGACGCTTTAGAAGCTAAGAACAGCAACAGGCCTTATGTGATGACTTTTTGTGGCGTCAATGGGGTCGGCAAGTCGACAAATCTGGCAAAAATCTGTTTCTGGTTAATAGAAAACAATTTCCGTGTGTTAATAGCCGCATGCGATACATTTAGGTAATGAATATTATCTCATTATAAATATATGCTTCTTGAAACATAATATCTTTCTTATATATTTTTTCTGTATGCATACATTGTATTATATATATTTGTTTTAAACATCTTATTTCTAAAATAATTTTTTTTAAGATATTAATTTGTCAATAAATGCCTCAATTCTGTTATAAATTCTAATAAAAGTTAATGTATAAGAGCTTATAATAACAATAATTTTATGATTTAGAGCTGGAGCTGTTGAACAACTGAGAACTCACATGCGTCATTTGAATGCTCTGCATCCACCAGAAAAGCACGGGAATCAGTCGATGGTGCAGCTATATGAGAAAGGTTACGGTAAAGATGCCGCAGGCATTGCCATGGAGGCGATACGCTTTGCGAAAGATTCCAGAATTGATGTTGTCCTAGTTGATACTGCTGGTAGAATGCAAGATAATGAACCATTAATGCGAGCTCTGGCAAAGCTAATTAAAGTTAATGAGCCGGACTTGGTTTTATTTGTGGGAGAAGCTCTCGTCGGGAATGAGGCTGTGGATCAACTGGTGAAATTTAATCAAGCTTTGGCTGACTACAGTCAATCTGCCAATCCTCATATGATCGACGGTATCGTGTTGACAAAATTTGATACTATCGATGATAAAGTAAGTTTTTCTTTTATACATTTTTTAAAAATGATTTTTATTACATTTTTTTTGTAAAACCTCTAATCTTTATGTCAATATCTGAGAAAATATTTATCATCACATAAGAAATATATACCATCTATACACACACATACATACACACACACACACACACACACACACACACACACATCAATTATTGTATTTTACATATAATAATAAATCACATATATACAGGATGTTCCAGAATAATCGCCAAATATTTTGTGTACAGGCAGAGCGGATTAAACTAAATGGAAAAGTTTTCTACTATTTCGCAATAGTTATTAATTATTAACAGATATTAATTACTTAAAATTCTTCGAATATTGATTTTCAATAATTTTTTACTCAAATACTATCAACTTTACAGAAAAACAGCAAGAGATAAAAATTATTTATTTTTCTCTCGTAGAATTCTTTCGTAGAGAACTTTTTCAGAATTTTTTAGTATCATATTTTCTCGTATTAATAAAAGTATATATAATAAAAGTATATATATATATATAATAAAAGTAAAAATAATGCGCCAAGAAAATGCAATATTAAAAAGTTGATAGAAAATTCTGAAAAAATTTTAGCACTCTATAAAAAGAAACTAAATAATTTTTGTCCTGACGTTTTTCTGTAAAATTAGTAGATAATACTTAAGTAAAAAATTATTTTAAAATATTTGGCGATTTTTAATTATTAATATCTTGTTAACTATTGCGAAAATTGCAAAATAATAGAGAACTCGGTCTACTTGCGCACGAAATATTTGGTGATCCCATTCTTGGATACCTTATGTATAAAATATATTTTCCTCTATAATATCTATTATTTTTTTTACTATTGTGTATCATTTACAATCATTCTCATGAATATTATTTGCAGGTTGGCGCAGCTATTACAATGACATACATCACTGGTCAACCTATTGTTTTTGTTGGAACTGGTCAAACTTACACTGACCTGAAATCATTGAATGCCAAAGCGGTGGTACACGCTTTAATGAAATGAAAAATGATAAGCAAACTTTTATATTGCAGGCATTCTGCAATATATAGATTTCATTTAAACTTTATTATACATTGATGTTACAGTTGAAGTTTTGTATTATGTTCAAAACTAATTTATTGTTTGACTAAACTATTAAATGATGACTAAAAAATTAAGAACGAATAATCTGTTGAATAAATATGAAAATCGATGAATCAAGGACGATGAATCATGCTGTTGTTACGAAAACAAAAAAAAAACAAGAAAAAGAGAAAAAGGCATTTTCAGTTGATGATGTGTTAAATTATTGCGAATGATTGGATTTCTTAAATAAAGTTGAATATTTCACAGTTTAAAAGTAATTTTTATTCCACGAGAATACATTTGTTGAAAGTTTATTCGCGTTGCATATCCAACATGCTTCTATCATCCTCACTCTTTGCGCTTGTTAGATGGTTGCGTTCAGTAGAAAAAATTGTTTTGCAACTATTGTAAAATTCTTTAATATGATTAACTGCGAGCAAAAAAAAACAGCTTAGCAACTGTTATAAAATTGTTGAATATGATTGGTACATTTAGATCTAATAAGGAACTAAGGGCAAGACCAATCATATCAAAGAATTTTATACAGTTGCAAAGCTGCTGAACGCAGCATTGGTCTTGCTGTATTTTGCAATTATTAAAAATTTTCTTCACACTAATTGGATTATACTTTGAGATCTAGAAGATCTCTCTATCCTCTCTCTTTCTCTCTCTCTCTCTCTCTCTCTCTCTCTCTCTCTCTCTCTATCAACAGACACATCATAAAACGAAAACTGTAAAACTGTTGTTCTGCTGAAGCCACAGACTGTGTTTATACAGCAGATTTACATCCATAGTTACGAAATTAATCATAACTATTCCTTTAAAGAATAGAATAACTGTGATTGACCAGTTTCATAAGTATGGATGTATTAAACCCGAAAAAGATGGCGTATAAACGTAATAAATGAAACCCATTGGATAAAACATCAGATTAAACCTAATCACAGTAACCAGATAATGAAAAATTGGATTTATGAATTTCAACCTATCAGAAACTGTATATTCCACAATATAGATTTCTGATAGATTAAAATTCCTATTTTCTGTTCCTAAAGTCTGCGGCACATGACGCTTGTTTTCTTACTGGATTGCTAGATAGATTAGAATCTTGCCACTGTATTGACTGCGGTGCTGTCAGTATCAGTATCGCAGCCAATACGGTGGCAAGATTCTAATCCAGCTAGTAATCCAGCAGGAAAACATGCATCGTGTGCCGGCTTATCAAGAACTATCAATTCTGAGCAGTCCTTAATTTTTGAGTGGGATCCACTTGATTCTATAAATGCTTCGAAGCATTTTATTGACCAATTGGAAGAAAGAATTTTACTAACTGGCCAATCAAAAATGCTTGAAGCATTTAATATATAATATCAAATGGACCATAGTTTCCATACATCTAGTAACTTTAGTTTGGATAGTTGAATACTCTGCGTTATGTGAATATCGTTATATCCATTTATCCCGTTTATCGGATATCCGTTTGCGATTTGGAAAATCTTTAAGAATCTCTTCTAAATATATTACATAATTCCACATAATTGCCATATATTATAAATCCGAAAGAGTGAGTAATTTGAAATTGTATGAAGTTAAAAAAGCATGAAGTGTACACTAATCATTTCTTTTTAATATTTAATTTAGCGACAATTTTTATAAGTAATTTCTAAATGACGTCATTTTCTTCTTTCGAAGATCAGAATTGTCAGTATATAAATCGTACTATTTCAAACTCATTTTATTCGCACTAATGATATAAATCATGTGTAATTTCTATTCATGTTTGATTTGAAAAAAAATTATAACGAAAAGAAACCTTTCTATAATTTTATAGGTTATCTGTGCAAAATAACCTGTGCGTGGATACCTACACCTGGGTGTACTGGATAAATTTTAATACTTAGTTTTCTTGCAATTATGCTGAGATTTTTCACACAAATCTTTTGTAATATATTACTATTGTCGTTTACGTAAATAAGTTAATTGTAAGATAATTCGTTTGTTATAGACAATCGACATGTCGCAAGGTACATATCGACCTGTGAAGTATCCATATACCTTAACTGCAAAGATTGCTAACTTTCCATACAAATATTACATACAGTATAGTTGGCTATACAAATATTATATCATAGGCACACTCGTATGCCTGCCCATATTCTATAAAATTCAAAAATTATGTAAGTAACAGCTTGTCTCGACATTGATTTAGAATGTTTCATTTACTGCGTTTTTATTTCCAGCATATTCTCCTGAGAATGTTGCAAAATGGGAAAAAATCCATCACGAAATGTTCTATGGCACTCCAGACGGCCATCATTGAAGTAGAAATATAATAGAGTCAAAAATGAACATATGTAAGAAAAAAACTTAGTCATTCTCTAACTAGAACAAATAAATCTGTAATTGCATATGTGAAATAAATTATGGAGACACAAGGGAATTATAAAAAAAATCTATTTGAAAGTTTAATTATTAAAATAATTGTATAAAATATACATGACTAAAAAGAACGCATTTTTGTGATTACATAATACAAGAAATTTTGACATATACATCTATCCTAAAAATTTGAAAACTGTTTTAAAAATAAACTAAATATCCAAAAAATAAGTATTGTAAAAAAAAGAAATTTACATAATATTAATGACAATGCTTCAATACATAACAATCACAGAACACGCAGTACAAAAGTATCCAATTTTATTGTCTGAATCTACAAACGTAAATTTTTATAAACGCCGTATCTAAAACTTTTTTTTTGAAAGCTGTGCTCGTGTTCTATTAAAGCTCGCGTACAGACGATCTCGAGAAAAACAAAATTATAATGTGACTTACCATGTATACACTTACGCGATTCTTAATAACTACGGCAATGAGTATATATAAATTGCCGCTTTATATGATTAATACTAAAATAATAAATAAAATTGATCGATGCGAGAATATGTCAAGCATATCTTTCCGTTTACATTTATAGAGAAAATAGTGCAATTCTTGTACTGATTGAAGCAAATGGAAACTAATGAGTTGTATGTCATTATTTTGAAATGCTCTGAATGCATGATGCATCTAAAAGTATATGTGCAGCTATATGTATTCCTGCAAATAATACTGTGTGTACGTCTTTATTACAAGAAGCCTCAAAAAAATCGACCAGAAAAAAAAAACAATTTTTTTCGTATTATATTTGCATTAATAATTATGTAAAATCAATTCTCATAATTCATCATAATTGTACTATTCCGTCAATTTTTTTATCAGTGTAATTTTATATTACTTTGTTGAAAGAATCAAAGTATATAATTTACAAGTATTGAGCTACATACAGAATCTTTCAACCGCTCAATGTCGGTATACAAGTCCACATATATGTTGAGTTCAAAATATATAAAATATGAGCGGCTTTAGATTTAAATTTCAAGAGTATGCATCGTAATGAAATATAATGTATATTTAATCTTTATTCTATCTTTTCTTCTGCACTTCTCTTTCGTCATCACTTTCCGACGTATCGTTTTCTTCGACATCGCTGCTCAATCTTGGCCTCTTAATCTTTCTGATTTCTTCTTGGAAAAATCCGTCCTCGAAATTCAAGCCTAATTCTTTGCAGCGTTTCTCAAAGTACTTGCGTAATCGCATCCCTGCACTATACACGTAACTATTTTTAACAAGACATAGCCTTGTTTCTTATATGCACATTTCCAAATTGGTTCGGAGGCAAAAGATTATTTACATCAACAACAGCAAAATTCTACTTGTACTAAAGTTACAGATGAATTAACACGTTCGCAAATTTTATAAGATAAAAATCGAATTCATCCATCAAGATCAATCACAAAATAGTTAATTTAGCTATAATTCATAGGCTACTTTTTTATATTAGATAATTATTTTACCGAATATTATAAACCCTAATTTTGTTGATATTTGTTATATTTTGTTAGATTTATGATATTTTACAGACCTAATTCGAATCATACTTAATAGTTCTATTAAGAATTTACTTATACATATATCAAATCAAAAATTAGTATACGTACAATATAAAAAATAATAAAGATGTTAATTTATTATTATATGTTATTATTTTGTTATTAATAATAATTATACGACGTTAATCATATTCAATGTGTGTTACCATTAATAATGTAGAAATACATGAAATAATTCTAATTAAAATTGTGATCTCTGGCATCCGAACTTGCGTAAAATAAATAACGATAATGTTGATACCTACTTGTACACAGTACTATGTTCTTTGTTATACAATCCACAGTTTTCAAAAACCAACTGGCAATCGCTAAAGAATTTATCTAGTGTCTCGTAGTCGCCGTTACCGAGTTTGTACTTGATAGTTCCAAAGTCCATCGGATTAGAAATGATATCGTGATAGTCTGGAACCTCATCCTTTCTAACAGGTGATAAAAATGGCCACGAATCTCTGTGATGCCAGATTTCAGCCAATAATTCTTGCAATCTACTCATAGATCCCTTAATGGAATTCTTGTCTCCTTGTTCAATTTCGGCGGCTCTTTTAGTTGCACGCCGCGTTTGTCTCGGTTCAGTGTCATCCGATGTACTGCTATCTGTACATTAACAATTTTTATATTAGCATATCACGTTTTTGTCATTTCAATTTGAAATTATTTACTAATTACTTGAAGACTACATTAAAAACTAAAAATCTAGTTCTATCGATGATATTTATGTGATATATATATATATGGAATAGCAATAGCTTACGATCTTATTACCAAGATGATACAATATAGGATTTACATGAAATGCAAATCAAGCATTTATGTAATGCTATGTTAGGATCTGTTCCCTAATAAGTCCTAAGAATTTATCTAATGTCTCGTAGTCGCCGTTTGTACTTGAGATAGTTCCAAAGTCCATAAATTTTACTCAGAAGTCAAAACAAGAATTATATGTATGTGTGCATGTGTGCATATATTGTGCCAAGTTATTTCAAATTAAAATATTCAATTATGAAAATATTATATGTCAAATGTATAAGACTTATACATTTTATCGATAAATAAGTCGATATTGTAAAATATTAATCCAAATTTATATTAATATAAATCTAGAGTATTTATCAAATTTATTAATAAATCCAATAATAGTAGGTAGTAATAATAGTAGTCAGGCTTCAAGGAATATTATATTATTTGATTTTCCTGATGTCCAGATATATTAACGAAAGAGAAATAATTTCGAAAACGTAAATAATAATACATAATCTGATATAAACATTAAAAAAAATAATTAAAAATAAAATGTCGGAAAAAGATTTATAGTAAATAATTTATAATAAATTCATTATTTGGTTAGGTTCATAAGTAATCTCAAAATAAAAATTATAAATTGTTCATTATGTTAATGATGAATAATTGGTCTCTTTTAATGTGCGGTGCTTTTCAAAAAAGAAAAAAATGAAGATGCAAAATTTGGCCATGAAGATGCTACACATATATACATATATATATAAACACAAAACAAAAGGAATACAATACAGACCGTCCCAGTCTGTAGATTCAGTAGTGAGGAGGCTCTTAGCAAAGCCATGGATGCGAGAGCGTGCTGCTGCTGCGCACAGCCTCTCCTTGTTTCTTTCTCTTTCATGCCCCCTCACTATCAACATAATTTTAACGCTAAGAAAGCTTTTTTTAATAATATTTTATCAACTTGTCTAATAATTTCATCTACGTTAAACGCAGAAACTTTTTTTCGTAAGTTATAACAGAAGAATAAATCCTTAAGACATTTCCGTCCGTATATTGTTCCGTTATTATTTCTTCATTACCTTTTATTGTGTTCTTTTTTTTATTCTTGCATATGGTGCAAGACCATCTGCCTCTAGGAGCTCTCAACAATGGCGGTTCTACGCATTCTAAGTGAAAACGATTTGGACATGTGTCACAAGCAATCAATTTTCCACCATTTTTACATGATGCGCATAAGTTTTCTAATCGTATATTTCTAAAACGACAGAAGAAAGCAAATAAATTAGAAATATTAAGCTATAGGAATATTAATGTAAAATTTTAATGCTATGGAAAGATAACTTACATGTCTTCTTCACTTTCATCATCTTCATCATCACTCTCTTGGTCACCTTCGTCATCACTATGCGGTTTGCGCTTCGCGCGATTTTGTCGCGTCTCTTTGGTTAACATCGTCTCTTCTTCGATCTCATCTTCGAATCTTTTCCGCTTTTGAGTCTTTTCTTTGAGTTTTATTTCCGGTGGTTTGCATGCTGTACAAAACCAATCTCCTGCTGGTACAGCCTACATATAAGAAATAACAAGAAAATAATATGATGATAGTTCAGTCAATCATTGTGGAAGTATCAATATAATGAACTTATTTATTACAGTAAGTTTTGGTTTTAGACAATAAAGATGGTGTCCCCTATTGCATCCATCACAAAGCAACATATTCTCCGCATCCCTACGCCTTCGACATATACGACACTGAGCGTTTAACGCGCTTCTGTCCCACGCAACGCTATTGTGCAAAGTACTTAAGTGAACAAACAACTGTGACCAGTTTGTAGATGCTATTAATGATTGTTCCCATCTCTCTCGTGCCTCCTCGCCCGACCATTTTTTGTCCTTTTGATCGGGCCCTAGTGGTCTCTGTAAGTACCTCTGTTCTATAGCGTGAGATAATTGCAAAATGGAACAAGCTAATTGTTTGATAGTCGCTTGTTGCCTTTGGTCGGGCATCATTTCGTCGTCACCAGGTAAACCTAAGTACATTCCTGGATCCTTATAAGTCCTTATGCTAATACTTCCAACCTCAGAATCGGGGGTACCGGGTCTACTATGTTTAAACTCATTCTTTATCTTGTCTATAAGAGCATTAGGTGGTGCATCTATATCTATCTCACTACCGGCGCACATTAATTTGTCACACTGTTTGTCGTAACCTCTCTGATTGATCGCATTCCTCCAGACAATACGATCAATAATTTTAAGACATCCTAGACAACCTGCATTAATTTTGTCTTCGAAGTCCAAAATATGATCTCTCAAAGTTAATTCCATTACGTCATTGATAGACATATCAGGAGGAAAGTTCAAGTTCGCATTTTCATATTTATTTTTCTTAACTATTTTGCTGACTTGTCCTTTATTGAAATCTGAAAACTACATACAACAATTATTTTCCATACTACTTTAATCATGCATAATTTTATATATAATATACATAGTATATATAAATAACATATAATAAACTAAACTTTAATAAATTATACAAAAATGAACTTACAACTTCAGGATTTAGTCTATATTTAGGACATTCATCAATAACGAGAAGCAAATTGTCCATCTCTTGTAAAAGATTATGTCTAAGTTCACTTTCCCTGACACCTCTTGTACTTAAACTATCTATTAATGCTTGAATATCTTTTTGATCTCCGTAAAAGCTCCATTTTACTAGTGATCTTTTGCAATGAACAGGACAATCTTTATCTCCTGTACATAGTACTAAATTTCTT